AATGTAATTAATTACAATACTTTATCTCAGAAATATTGACATATCATTTTGTCCTATCTTAAAGAATTTCTTATTCTCCTTGTCTTTGGTGGAGTTTTTTTGGAGAAGGTTTCGGCTAACAGATTTGCAATGTCGGTTTTTGCTGTTAAACCTTTGAGTCCTGAGCACCAGTTTACCGGTGGTGGAGAAAAATGACGTAATATTTAGACACCGGTTGAACGGTGGGTAAACATTAGTAACTATTTATATATCTACCGTGAAACATCAATTATTTGCGAATTTTGAATCAGGAACTCAGGAAGAAGGGTTGAAATTGCTCAGGAACGCAGAAGTCAAAGGGTTAATCAATATTTCTTACTTTTCTTTCCTTATTTCCATCTCCTCAGCTGTCAAGAAAGAAAGACGACCTTTCTTTTCCCGCTTCTTTTCCTTCTTTCATTCCTTTTCATCAGGAACTCATGCAGAATGATTGAAATTTTCAGGTACGTAGGACTCAAAGGGTTAATCAATATTCCTTACTTCTCTTTCGTTATTTCCTTCTCCTCCGTGGTTAAGAACGAAACCCTTTGAGCCCTGACCACCGATTTACCGGTGGTAGAGAAAAATGACGAAATGCCCAGCCACCAGTTGAACATAGGTAGAGAAAAATGACTTAATGCCCAGCCACCGGTTGAACGATGGGTAAACACTTGTAACTATTTTTATATCTACCGTGAAACATTACATATCAATTATTTGTGAATTTTGACTCAGGAGCTCAGGCAGAAGGTTTAAAATTGTTCAGTAACGCAGGACACAAAGGGTTAATCTATATTTCTTATTTCTCTTTCCTTGTTTCTATCTCCTCCATGTTCAAGAAAGACAGACGACATTTCTTTTTTCTGTTTCTTTTCTGTTTTTCATTCCTTTTCGTTATTCTTTTTTAACCATTTGAGCTCTGACCACCGCTTTACCGGTGGTAGAGAAAAATGGCGTAATGCCCAGCCACCGGTTGAAACATTACATACCAATAATTTGCGAATTTTGACTCAGACAGAAGGGTTAAAATTGTTTAGGAACGCAGGGTTCAAAGGGTTAATAAGCTCTGATTTGTGGAAAGGCGTGTTTTCGTCGATAGATTTCTTATCATGTTTCATATTGTTTTGGTTTTGTATTTGAATTTAGTTTTTTTACATAGTTTTGCCAGCATGTTCTTTTTGTTTCTTTTTCTTTTTTTGTTTTTTTTTGTCTCTTTTTTTGTTGTTGTTGTTGTTGCGTGCTATCGCTCTGTTCATTTTGAATTCGTTTAGATTGTCTGTGATTGGCTGTGTTTCATATCTTCTGAGGGTTGATTTTCATATTGCTTTTTTGCAATCTCCGTTAAAGCAGCGTTTGTTATGTTTGGCTGATTTAGAGATTTTGGGTATATATCCTTCGTCAATTGATATAAAGGTTTCTATTTTCGGTGTTGTCCTTGTCACATAGACTTTTAAATTTGATCCGGTTTGCCTTGCTGAGTTTCTATTTAGTTTTTTTTTCTGTTCTCAGGCATTTATGTTTTCGAGGATGATTGGGAAGTCGTCACTACTGTGAGGGACATGAAAAACTAGTTCATGAATGTAGTGACGTCACACAGAAATATATCTATGGCGGTGAATATGCCTGTTGCTGGGTGAAGGTATGTGTGATGTTTGTTTTTGAGGAGGATCGTTGGATATAGTGGTCCTTGTCATATAGACTTTTAAATTTGACCCGGTAGGCTTTGCTGAGTTTCTATTTAGTTTTCCTTCTGTTCTCAGGCATTTATATTTTCAAGGTTGATTGGGAAGTGGTCACTACCGTGAAAGCCATGAAAAACTTGCCAGCTGAAGTTCATTTATTTAGTGGCGTCACACAGGGATATATCTATGGCGGTGAATATGCCTGTTGCTGGGTGAAGGTATGTGTGATGTTTGTTGTTGAGGAGGATCGTTGGATGTAATTAGCTTTTCAATTTGTTTACTTTTTTTTATCTGTGGTTTCATTGCCTCAAATCATATTGTGGCTGTTTAAATCGACTAGTATCAGGAATCCTTTTGGCAGTGTCTTTATCAGTTTGTTTATTTCGATTTCGTAGATGGTATCCTGTGGTGGTATGTATAGAGAATGCGAAGCGTATATTGTCGCCATTTTATATTTCTAATTTCGCGCATGCACGTTGTTTTTTTTTATTTTGCCGATCGCACAGTATAGTAAGGTCAGTTGAACACCGTCTGTAACAAAAAAGTGCATCATAACTCACTCTGCCAGAAATTAGGAAACGATATGTTGTACTTCTTGGCTTTCGCGCCGGAATCTCCAATACAAACATTTAAGAATGTTTGAGTGTCAATCTGAGGACAGTGCAGATGATTCACAAAGAGTTGGATGAGTCTAATGGTGATTACGAAAGGACGGCAGCTTGTAAAACTTACTCTAATCGTTCTGATAAGAAAACAACTCCCCAATTTGTTGTTGAGGGTCACAGACTCGATACAAAGGC